GAGTAGCAATACTCATATCTGACAAAATAGACTAAGATCTGGAAACAGCCCAAGTGCCCATCAGCAGATGAGTGGATAAAAAAGCTGTGGTACATTTATACCATGGAATACTATGCAGCAGTACAAAGGAAGAGTCTCTTACCCTTTGAGACAGCATGGAAGGACCTGGAGAGTATCATGCTAAGTTAAATAAGTCAGAGAAAGACAAGTATCACATGATCTCACTCATGTGGAATCTAACAAAATAAGCCTTGCAAGCCATTGTAAGGAGTTTGGACTTTTCAACCTAACTCTTAAGTAGTGTTAGCATAAGAAACATTCAAACTTGTAAAGAATCTTTAAGAGTTTAGTTGAGCCAAACTGTCAACAACTGCTGGGAATCAGAATCTCAATGTATTGAGATAATGCTCCGGAAAATGACAGTTCTTCAACCTATTTTTATAAATTACCATCAAAGGAGGAGAGTAAGTGGGTTACGTGAAATCCATTGGTGATAGATTAGGGAAGTGGTAGAAAGCAAAGCGGGAAAACCTCTGGGATTGGAAAAAAAGTAAAATGATAGACACATGCTTCTTTTACACAGGTGGGTATAGGATAGTTCACAGTCAACAATTAAGGATAACAGTAACATTGAGGGGATTTGCACACTGATTGTGCTCTAAGGGGTCTGGAAAATGGGGAAGGTACAAGTTACTGGTGACATTCCAAAGGTATGTTATCTATATGCAAAAAACTTAAAAATGGAACTCCCATTTGACCCAGAAATCCTACTTCTGGGAGTATATCCCAAAAAACCAGAAACACCAATCAGAAAGGATATATGCACCTCTATGTTCATAGCAGCACAATTCACCATAGCTAAGATTTGTGAACAGCCTAAGTGTCCATCAGCAGATGAGTGTATGAAAAAACTGGTACATCTACACAGTGGAATACTACACTGTTATAAAAAAGAAGGAACTTTTACCGTTTGTAACAGCATGGATGGACCTGGAGAGCATTATGCTAAGCAAAATAAGCCAGTCGGAGAAAGATAAATATCACATGATCTCACTCATATGTGGGATATAATGAACAACATAAACCAGGGGTCCTCAAACTACGGCCCTCGGGCCACATGCAAATACAAATATTGTATTTGTTCCCGTTTTGTTTTTTTACTTCAAAATAAGATATGTGCAGTGTGCATAGGAATTTGTTCATAGGTTTTTTTTAAACTATAGTCCGGCCCTCCAACAGTCTGAGGGACAGTGAACTGGCCCCCTGTTTAAAAACTTTGAGGACCCCTGACATAAACTGATGAACAAAAATAGATCCAGAGATAAACACTGAACAGACCCTCCAACCTCAGAGAGAAGGCAGAGAAGCGGGGGAGGGGTAAGAGATCAACCAAAGAACTTGTATGCATACATACTAACAAAACTAATGGACGCGGACACTGGGGCGGTGGGGGCTTGTCCTGGGGACTGGGAGTGGCCGGGGCGGGGGGGGGGGGTCAATGGGGGGGGAAGGGAGACATATGTAATTCTTTAAACAATTAAAAAAAAGACTAAATAAGCTCAGTTAAGATCAAAGTTGATCTCTGTCAGGGAAGATACCAACCTAGGACATGACTACCCACTATAAACTGCTTTTTTGAAATATATAATTTTATTGATTTCAGAGAGGAAGAGAGAGAGAAACATCAGTGATAAGAGACAATCATTGATTGGCAGCCTCATGCACGCCCCCTACTGGGGATTGAACCTGCAGCCCAGGCATGTACCCTTGACCAGAATCAAACCTGGGACCTTTTCAGTCTGCAGGCCAACGCTCTACCCACTGAGCCAAACTAACTAGGGCTAAACTGCTTTTTAATTTAAAGTTTTAATTTCAGACCATCACTTGTGGTTACTTTAGGTCTCTGAGTTTGCAAGGCTGCCACACAGGCCTTCTCTGAGTTAGTCAGGTTGGCATGTGGCCCCTTTTCACTCACAGTAGGTAAGGGAATAGAAAGCCATTGCAAGAATTTAAGCAGAGGGATGACACAGTCTGAATTAGGTTTTTAAATGATTATTCTTAGGGTTTGAGAATGAACTGTAGCAGGACGGTGGAGAGGGGGCAGCTGGTTAGGGGGGCATTGCAATTGTCCAGCAAGAGAGAATAGTGCGTAGGGCTAACATGGTGGCAGTGGAGATGAAAATAGATCATCATGTGTGAACACATGTTCACAACAATCTTAAGAATCCATTTTACTGCCCCATCTTCCAGGTGGGGGTTAGGGGACCAAGAAATATTAAAGGAGCATTTGCTCAACGTGTTTGCCTGCAACCCAGAGTAAAAGAGTACCTTTTCATCACAACTCAATACACACATGCGTTTATTTAAATAATTAACACTCAATTCTGAACTTAATGTATTCTCTTGTACTTTACTTTTTTCCCCCCTCAGGGAGAGGGTGGAGGAGGGGAAAGGGGAGCATGGGGGCATGCTCCTGGAAAGGAGAGCCTACTTTTTTTTTTAATGCTGACTGAGAGAATTGATCCACAAATATGCCTTGAAACACAGTTGAAAACACTGAGTTGTGGACCAAGTCCCACTGGGAAAAGGAGCCAGAATTCCAGCATGGCCTTTCTGCTACATTGCCTCTCAAAACTTAATCTCTGGCCCCTGGGAATTTACTTTTGGACTCAGCAGAGGTCAAGAGCTCTTTGGAGAATGATGCTCAGGAGCATCTATAATAATAAAAGAGTAATATGCTAATTTGACCGGACCTCCTTCCAGACAAAGCCGGGGCCGGAGGGAAGCCACCGGGTCCTGGGTGCTGGAGGGAAGCTGGTGCTGGCAGCCGGGGGAAGGAAGGCCTACTCTTGCACAAATTTTCATGCATCGGGCCTCTAGTTTTTTTATAATAATGAAAAAGTTGCCCTATCCAGTTTGGCTCAGTGGATAGAGTATTGGCCTGCGGACCGAAGGGTCCCGGGTTCAATTCCAGTCAAGGGCACGTGCCTTGGTTGCAGGTTCAATCTCCAGTGGGGAGCGTGCAGGAGGTAGCCGATGGGTGATTCTCTCTCATCATTGATGTTTCTATCTCTCCCTTTCCCTTCCTTTCTGAAATCAATAAAAATATATTTTTATAATAGTGGAAAGCACCAAAGCCCAACTACAGTAGAGTAGCTGAGCAAATCATGGCGCACCTCATAAGGAATCTCTGCAGTAATTGAAAATTAATTATAAAGATTATGAGAAAGTGGGAAAGGCCGCTGATAAGACATTAAGTTTAAAACAGCCCCATGCAAAATGGTCTGTACACACCATGATGACAATTTTGTCAAAATACAGCCATGTGTAGGGAGAATTTAAAAATGAAAATAGTTGTCAGATGGGTACTAATCGGGGTAATCACGTTGTCAGTTATCTGAATGTCTAATCACTATGTTGTATACTTGAAACTAATATATTTCAACTGTAGTTGAAAATACTTGTGTGTTTGCTTGGTGGGGTTGCTTTCCCATTTTCAAAATTATACTTGGCAGTTGCTCCTTTGTTATTCTAGTTAAAGAGTGGATGTGTCTGAATCCTCCCCTAGAAAACCTAGCTTAGGCCTGCCTACCCCTTGTAACCTTTGCTAGACCATCACATACCTGTTTCATGGAGCTGTGACGAGGATGCTGTTATACTTTCTCGTCGCACCCTGCACCTTTCCTTCACATCACCTGATGCAGGATATGTTATTGAAATTGTAGTGTGTGCTTAATGTTTTCTACCACCAACCATCTCCTCGAAGTGTTATAATTCCTTCTTCCCGAGACTTTAGCCTGGTCCTGGAAGACCAGGAATCAAAAGCCTAACATCAACTTTTGAAAAATCTAAATTCATTGAGGTTATACTGGGTGTGAGGGGATAGGAGCAGCTAGGAGCAATATAATAGTAAAGGAGTGTGTGGCTGCCCTCAGACTCGACCTCAAAGGAACTAATAAAAATCATCATAGCAGTGTAACTAACCAAATTGCTTATTATGAACCAGATACTTTTATGGGGGAAAAATGTGTGTGTTCGTGTAACAGAGTAGTTAAGTAACTTCTACTAACAGAGCCAGGATTCAAACCCAGGCAGTCGGGCTCTAAGAACCAGTGCCTTAACCACTATACTGTTTTGTCTCCTGTGGCCCTGAAAGGCCTGAAATGGAGCCATGATGGGCCCCAAATGGGTAAAAAGATCCCGCCAAGGTTCCCCATATCCCCATCCTGACACAAAAGCTCCAAAGCCCCAAGACCTTGAAGATCTATGCTGTGGCGCCAATGGGCATCTTAATGATCAAAGTCAATCGATTATCACAATGCAGCATCTGTTGCATAGCCTTTCCATGAGGAGCTTTGCACAACCCCAGAAGAGGAACCCTCCCCCAGGCCTATAATGACTAAGACTGTAACCCAAACAGATGGGGAACTCGGAAATGGAACTAAGTTGATGTGAAGAGAAAAAAAAGAAAGAGATCAAGATGTCTGGGTTTAAATCGTGGCTTTTCCATTTACTGGCTATGTTACTTTGCTCTGCCTTAGTTTCTGTCATAATCTGTAAAATGGAGATGATGCAGGATAAAACTACACCCACCTTGTAGTTTATGGTATGCATTACATAAGTTAGTACAGGTAAAGCACTTAGAACAGTCCCTGCACATTAGTAACGATGTAAGTGGTAGCGATCATTATTACCTGCATTTGGGTCTGAAAATTATACCTAGTAAACTTTAATCGCAGTTTGTAATTCGATCCGTATTTATATGATTATAATAATGCCTGAGGCCTCCAGTAGACTGGAAACTCACAAGGTCATTGCACACTGAATTAGCACGGCTGACTCTAGGCTTCTCCCACCTACAGAAGTACACAAAACAACCTTGCTTGCCTTTAACCATAAAGAGAAAAATTCAATTGTTCTGAAGTGCATATGTGCATGTATAGGAGGGAAGTGGTCCAGCCGCAGAAAGGCGTCACTATGGGATCTACACATTGCAGTCCTTTTTTTCAGTGAGTCAAGAATTTAATCATTGAAACCAATGAAGTTTCCACAGTTAAGCTCCCAACAGTAAGGTAGAGAAATATATCGAACATAATGATTTTCTAGAATTAGAGGACAGAAAGCTCTATCGGCCACTGATAACAGTCATCCTAAAGACACCTGATACCCCATCCTTTCCTCTGCCAAAACATTTTCAAAGTAGCTCTGCATCACTCCAAATGGTTAATTATCTGGTGGAAATGGATTTCTCCATCCTTGTGAGACTCTCAGCAGCGAGCAGGCCACTGCAGTAGCCGTTCGTTTTCGTGGTGACAAGGATGGTTGCGCCTTCCTCCATTGCTGGCAGTGGAAAGAAATGGTCAGAATCGACCTTTGGTTGGCTCTTGACACAGTCTTCACAGGTACAGTCTTCTACTGTGTACTCCAGGCTTCTGGAAAGAATTTCCTCACCGGTCCTGCTGGCTTTTCTATCATCCAGGTCAGCATTCGCCTTGTTCTGGAGAGGCGATCCTGATTACACAGAAACAGAAAAGTTAACCTGAACTTCCCAGGGCGTGTGGTTGTGACAGTCTTAGCAGTACACCTCAGGCTGAAAGCCGTGCCAGACAGATCTTCCCCTACAAAACCAATGAGTATGTCCTGCACTAGAAGCCAGGAACTAACAGGCCACAGGACACAAGAGGCTCAAAGACATGCTGTAGGGCATAGAGTGTTTTTATGTGTTTGCTTATGTTGACCCACATTTTAAAATCAAGTGATTGCCCTGGCCGGTGTAGCTCAGGTGGTAGAAGTCTTGTCTGTGCACCAAGAGGTGGCAGGTTCAATTCCCCGTGTGTGGGAGGCAATCAATAGATGTTTCTCTCACATCAATGTCTCTCTCTCTCTCTGTCTCTCTCTCTCTCGCTCTTGAATTAAAATAAAAGTATTTTTAAAAATCAAGCGATTTTAAATACAAATCTAGACTGGCCTTGATCTTATTTTACACAAATTACCATATGTTACAGCACACCAAAATCAGCCTATAGTAACACGTTAGAATTCAAAGTAAAGATGCTTCTCTTTTCACGCTTTGTGTCAGATTAAAAAATTTTAATGACTCTCCATGATGACATAAGGAAGGAGCCTCCATTATGCCCCCACCATATGCCTGTGAAGATGTTTTACTATTTCCCCAACCTTCCACAGTATAACTCCATCTTCCAAAACATCAGACTTAGACATCTTTCCCCACCTGTTCCTCAAATTCCAAGCAAAACAAAAATAAAAATGAGTAAATTATATAGGACAACCATTTACCTCTCCTTCCTGCACAGGAAAGTGAATAAGGTGGATGCTTTGCAGATTGTGCACAAAAATGCAGAAAGAAATAGGGCAGGGGCTGCAGAGTGTTTGGGAATCAGATAGTAAGCGAAGGTGCCGCAGAAGTAGTTTTATCTTAAGAAGCCCTTCAGACCTTGAGGGTGTTAAGGAACAATCACTTCTCTGGAACATTCAGTCCTCTGGGACTGGTTCTCTACTGATTAAAAAGATGCTAATCTTTGAGATGATTGCTTATGTAACCCAGGAGCAACTGGTTATGCAGTTCTAACATTTTTCAGCAGTAGAATGTTCACCCAAGCAAATAACACATATTCGTATTAAAAACGTGGCCACGGACCGTGCCGAATACACCTTTCCTGATCGCAGCAGACCTGGCTAGCAGTGACATTTAGTCAATGTGTGAACTTTGATCAAAAAGATGGACGTTTGCCAAGAAAGCCTCAGTAATTCAAAAGAGTGATTTTCAAGGGAAGAACATGGGAGGAGGCTGACACTGTAGGACCCCTGCAAAGAAGGTGCAAACACAGGAGAGAAGTGCGTTTCACGTATCTGTCCTCTGACACACTCAAAAGGGCTCCAACCTAATGAAATCTTCAGTGTAAAAAAAGAAAAAGGAACTGAAACTCGCAAAAGCCACCCCTGGGAAACAGATTTCTAAGATTGGCCACCAAACTAACCTGTGCTCTTAAATTTGTCCTTTGATGGTTCGGAGCTCATCTTCCTTAGCAAGATCATCAGCACGAAAACTGTCAAAGACAGCAGCAAGCTCAGGCCCAAACAGGTCCAGAGAATGGCATTTGTTCCTTTCACTGAGTTAAAAGAGATGTCAGAGAGAGAGAGAATGAACCGATAACATCTACATCAAGTAAAGATTACTTGCTATCCAATTCCCCTAATTCATCAGCATTGACTTTCCAATTTTAAATAGCACTTCATTAGAAGAGCTGATAAAATACTGGGTTGCTAACAGTGCTGCATGAAGTTGAGTTCAGCTCTGAATAATTATTCCTGTTGGCATTTAAATAGCGGCCTCATTACCTTTCTCTTTTTGGATTCAGAAAAGCTCACCACCTTCCCTGTAATGTTTATTCTTTGAATAAACACTTAGTATAGAGAGAATACTTCACACCAACGAATAACTGTTCAAGCAGTAGTACTTACCTGTATTACAATAACGCTGACATATGAGAGGAGGGGTATTAGAACACCGAAGGTGACACGGTTTGCAAGCATTCAGCAATCTGTCAAAATATTCATTTGGAGGGCACTGTTGAGCCATCTGGAACTTGATCACAAAAAGAAACAAACCACAGAGAGAACCGCATGGAAAGACAAGCAAAATCTCTTCAAGAATTCCCCAGCAAGTGGAATGACAGCAGCTACCACGTCGAACAACTTCGAGGAAATAAAAGAAGCTCACATCGATGGCTCTGTGCTTATAGGGATGCCTGTCTGTACTGCGGCCAAAGATTTGAATACCAACTCTAATTCCCGTTTCGTCGTGTGAGGCTTGGGTGGGGTAAGAGATGGAGTGTCAATATCAAGGGCAAGCCGTACCTGAAACAGAAACTGCTTATTTATAGTGACAATGTCTCAGCCAGGTGACAGTTGCAAGATGTAGACAAGCCTGAGGCACCAGGCAGAAGGTTCTATAACCTTATTCGGTGCATCTGTTTATGAGCTGAGCTGTGTGACAGGCCGCAGGGAGCTAGGTAAGACAAAGCCTGTGCCCCTTAAAAACATACAGTCTAACAAAGGGGATCAAAATTCAGGCATGGAACCCCAAAGCATAGTCGGAACTGATGGAAAGTGAACGAGGGAAAGGGGTATCAAGCACGCCTACCAGGTTGTGAACCTAGGAAGAATTCCAGAATTCTGACCGAAAGAGGGAAGTCTAGGGTAAAAGCTAAACTGGCCTGAGGGTTGAAGGAAAAGATGTTTGGAGTATTTTTTTTTTCCTTTCTTGATTTTGAGAGAGAGAGAGGAAGAGAGGGATAGAGAGAAACATCGATAAGAGAGAACCTGCATGCCCACTACTGGGGATCGTGCATGTGCCCTGACTGGGAATCTAACCAAGGCCTCCTAGTTCATGGGTCGATGCCCAACCATTGAGCCACACTGGCCAGACTAGCACCTTTTTTTTTTTCTTCCTTTTTTTTTTTTAATGAAGGACTTGAGCCTTGAAGAGAGTTTGGACTTGGACATTGATCAAAACCTTACACTCCTCTGGGGTCCAGGCGGAAGCCTGGTGGGATAGCCAGGAGCTGAAAGGGCTGGCCCAGCAGGTTCCACTCCCTCAAGCTCCAGGCAAATGGGACTTTTGAAAGGCAGGTAAAGGACACAGGAGAAACATGATTAGAGAAAGAGGAGGACAAAGATTATCTCACAGCCAGGCAAAAAGGGAGTTTCAGGATAGGATGAGTAGTGAGGGTCAAAGTCTATGGAAAAGTCAGAGGTGAAACGCTAAGGTCATTGGTAGCCTCTGAGTGTGTCAGCGGATAGAAACCATATTGTAGATATTTAGAGAGTAGAGAGAAAGAGGAGGCAGTCACCCTAGCCGAGTTGGCTCAGTGGATAGAGCGTCAGCCTTCAGACCAAAGGGTCCCGGGTTCGATTCTGGTCAAGGGCACGTATTTAGGTTGCAGGTTCCTCCTCGGCCCAGGTCCTGGTCAGGGCTCGTTCAGGAGGCAACCAATCGATGTGTTTCTCTCACATTGATGTTTCTCTCTGTCTTTCCCTCTCTCTTCCACTCTCCCTAAAAATCAATGGAAAAATATCTTCGGGTGAGGATTAACAAAAAAACAAACAAGAGGAGGCAGTCAATGTGGGCAATGCCTGGGAAGTCTGGTGGAAACTGGAAGAACAAAGCTTTGATAACTCTTGGAAAAGAAAGCACTGTTGTGGGGGTGGGTCAATCAAGGAAAAAGGAGACATATGTAATACTTTAAACAATAAAAGAAAAAAGAAAGCACTGCTGTTTCTGATAGATGTGTTTACTTAGGTGCCTGAAGTCACATGTAAAGGGTGTCCCAAAATTCACGCAAGATTTGAATTTTGCATGAGCATTAACAACAATAACAACAACAAAAATAAAAACCTAATTTTGCTTGGTTTATTGAATCAGATTATAATATCTGTTGCCCTTTGATTTCAATCCCTTCAATTTGATAAGCATTACCAAGTACCAATTATGGCCCAGAAGCAGGGACAATGAAGACCAATGAAGACCACGGCTTTGCGTATGTGCCAGCAAAGCCATGGAGGCCATTTACCCAATGTGCTATTCCATACATAACCCTATACTGTATACTTTATGAATCAATAAAAAATTTACAATTTTTAATTATAAACCTGTGTTTTCTGTCAAAATTACCTCTTGCGTGAATTTTGGGACACCCTTTACAAGGGTGTTCACTGCAGTATCATTTGTATTTGCAAAAGCCTGCCCATCAATGGGGGCCTTGGAATAGAATACTACACAGCCATAAAAAAGAATAAGACAGGAGTGTTTTTTGTTTGTTTGTTTGTTTTTATTAATCTTCACCTGAGGTTATTTTTCCTATTGATTTTTTAGAGAGTAGAAGGGAGGAAGTGATGTGAAGAGAGAGAGAGAGAGAGAAACATCAATGTGAGAGAGACATCAATTGGTTGCCTCCCTTAACCTACCCCAACCGGGAATGAACCTGCAGCCCAGGTAGATGCCCTTGACCTACCCGGGACTCTTCAGTCCACAGGTCAACACTCTAACCACTGAGCCCACCGGCCAGGGTGAGACAGATGTGTTTTGATATGAGCAACACATCGCTGAGCAGAAAATGAAAGGTACTCAACAGTGTGTATAATCTGCTCTTCTGTGTTTACAAATAAAATAGCCTGGGTTTGTATATAGAGACATAAACATAGGCTATTTACATCTGGAAAGATACACAGCACACTGATAGTAATTGCTTCTGGCAAGAGATAAGAAGTAGCACAGGGAAAAGACTGCATTGAAAAATCTTTGGTACTATTTGAATACTTTTTAAAAAATTTTTAAATTGATTTTTTAGAGAAACACCAATTTGTTGTTCCACTTATTTATGCATTCATAGAACCTGAAACCTTGGCATATCAGGACTACACTTTAACCAACTGAGCTACGTGGCCAGGACTGAATAATTATTTTTTAATAATAAAGATTATTTTTAAAATAAGAATCATTTTTTTAAAAGGTGGTGTCTTAGTCTGTTCTGACTGCTATAAAAAATACCACAGACTGGGTGGCTTAGAAATAACAGAAATTTGTCTCTCACAGTTCGGGAGCCTGGAAGTCCAAGGTCAAGGTACCAGCAGATCTGGTGTCTGGTGGGAGCCCAATTCACAGCCATCTTTTCACTATAACCCCGCATGACAGAAGGGGCAAGCGATCTCTCTGGAGCCTCTTCTATAAGGTCATTAATCCCACTCATAACGGCTCCACCCTCCTGACCTAACACCTACCAAAGGCCCCCACCTCCTATTACCATCACATGGGGGGTTCATTTTCAACATATGAGTTGGGGGTGGGGATGAACACTCAGGCTATAGTGGGTGGGAACTTTGAGGAAAAGAGAAAGTAGAGTGAAAGGGAGGTTTCCTAAGGCTGAAAGCACACACTAAGGGAAAAAAAATATAGAGTAAAGATGTCAGAGAGACCAACCTGGGCAGAATCTGGGACAGCGTGAGGCCTGGAAACCAAAAGCACTGAAGGAAGCCTTTCCCCAGGTGCACTCACTGGGCCTTAAGAGCACTGAAGCCCACAGAGGTTATTCTTTTTATTTATCTTTAATTTTCTTTTTTATTGATTTCATAGAGGAAGGGAGAGGGAAGAGAGAGAGAGAGAGAGAGAGAGAGAGAGAGAGAGAAACATCAATGATGAGAGGAAGTCATTGACTGGCTGCCTCCTGCACACTCCACACTAGGGATCAAGCCCGCAACCGGGGCATAGGTCCTGACTGGGAATCGAACCGTGACTTGGTTCGTAGATCAATGCTCGACCACTGAGCCACGGCGGCTGGACGCAGAGGTTATTCTTCATCAACTCTAGGCCGCAGGCAACCTGGAGAGGCCCAGGGGTGGCTCCTTCCTCAGAGGTTACAGCAGACCCTTCCTGGCCAGTCCCCAAGCCTCTCAGATATGCAGAGTGCACTCGCAGGAACCAGGGCCAAAGGCCTTTGCCTTCTCTCCCTCCTCGCCTTACCCTGTCGCCCCTCAAGTCTATTCTCTGTCCTGGTCATCTCAAGGTTGAACACCGAGAGCGCTGGCCTGGTAGTCGCACCATTTGGAAATGGCCCAGAGAGGGATTTGGTGAGAGCCCAGGGAGGCTCCCCCGGGCGACTCTGGCTCCTCCCTTCTCCAGTCTTTGTGCAGCTTGCTCAGCTCTGTCTCTGATTTTGTGGGGCAGCCTGGTGAATCATCCAATAGAGTCCCCCTTTGGCTTAAATTAGCCAGAGTCAGTTTTGGCTGGTTGCCAACAACCCAAAAGTAAAAATAAAATCCTTAACCATATTAACCAATTCTTAACTGATTCCTCCACTCGTGCCTGAAATGTTGACAACCGACACTGGCTGGGGCAAGTCGTGCCTTCCCTTTGCACCTCAAGGTGGGGGTGACATCTTAGGTTCAGCTGATTCTCCTCCATGACAGGTAAGCGGATGGGGAAACAGAGACTAGGAGGAGACAGAGATACGTGTGCAAAAGAGGTTGGGAAATGTCCTAGTAGTCGGAACTCTTTCCATGAGATATGACATAAAAACTTGAAAAAGAATTTACTGGCATTGTAGCTGAAAAGTACAATGGTAAAGTCAGCTTTAGTGGCTTTAGTTATGGCCAACAGTATCCTGGTTTCTCTTGGTCACTTGGCTCAGCAGTGCCGTCTTCCGAGTCTTGGCTCCATCCTCAGGTCCTCCCCTCACGGTCACCTGTGAGCTACGGCACCTCCAGACCTCACATACTCTTATTTCTTCTAAACCCTCTCCTGAGAAATCTCATCTGCTCTCATGGTTTTAAACATGTTAAATTGCAAACCAATGTATCCAACCTCAACCTTGTCCCTGAAATCCAGACCGACCTTCCCACTGCCTACTTGATGTCTCCACCTCAAAGACTAAGAGGTGTCTCAAAATTTATTCCTTAATTTATTTTTTTAATATATTTTTATTGATTTCAGAGAGGAAGGAAGAGGGAGAGCAAGATAGTAATATCAATGATGAGAGAGAATCATTGACTGGCTGCCTCCTGCACGCCCCCCTCTGGGGATCCAGCCTGAAACCGGGGCATGAGCCCTGGCCGGGAATTGAACCGTGACCTCCTGGTTCACAGGTTGACACTCAACCACTGAGCCATGCTGGCCGGGCTCAAACTTTATTAACGTGCATTTGGATTCTCCAAAAGGGAGCATGTGTGCTGCCCTTCTCAAACCGACTTGATCATAGGATCCCTTTTTTCAAGGTCCACCTACGAACATTTAGGAATATATGTTCCGTGGAACACAATTTGGAAAAATTTTGACTACATTATTTCCATGATTCCCTCCAGTT